GGCGGGGCCGGCGCTCAGCTTCATTGACGCTCACGGGTTTGATCCGTCAGACCTCCGGCGAGCGCACGACGGGCCGCAGCCGGCGTTTCAAGGTGGGTGCGGAGGCCGGGCCATGCCGCGCTGCTGTGCGTGCTGCGAGGGAGGGCGCCATGTGGCTTGCCGTTGCACGGGTTTACAGGTAGCACGTCCCGCCGCTGCTGCTTTGTGCGGTGGGCGTGCGTTGGGTCTCCGTAGCCCACTCGCGTGCTCAACAGGTGCGCAGGCCGCGTCTGAGATGCGTTCTGCTTCGCCAAAATTTGCAGGGGGCCTGTCGGAGCTGCAGCGGGAGCGCGACAGGCTGCTTGCGGTGCTGAAAAACCTGCAGCAGCACCAGGCGGCAGTCGAACGCACGCCTCAGGCGTCGGAGGACCCGAGGGGCGAGGTGCTGGGCCTGCTGCTGCGGTGGCGGGCGCGGCGGCGGCGGGCGCTTGAAGCGGAGGTGCGGCGGCTGGAGGCGCTCATACAAGCAGCCCAGTCGGCGGACGGGGCGAGGAAGATGGAAGTGTAAGAGGTGGTCATGCAAGCCGCTTGCACAAGTGCCTGCAGGCTTCGCCGGTTCACTTGGGGACCCAGACCACATGCAGCTGCTTTGCTTGTGCCCCCGGAGCACACGAGTCTTATCTCTTTGAAGCACTACGCTCTGCAATTTGAGAGCACGCTCGAATTACGTCGCTCCTCACCCGTGGCCGATGTGCCTGGTAGCCCGGCAGCTGCGCCTGCATCAACGGCCCTGCGCAGCAGCAAAATGGCGTCGCATGGGCCCACTGTACAGACAATTGCTCATCTACACCTGAAATATAGCATTGGGCAACGCACACCTGATAGCCATGCAGCTCGTCGCGAACCAGGCGCGCCTCGCTGCGGTGCGGTCGAACGCAACTCGCAGGCCCGTGCAGCAGGCACGGCTGCCTGCCAGACTCGGACAGGTGTGTAGAAGGCGCGATCCGAGCGTGATGGTATCGGCGGAAAACATGACCGTGATCTCTAGCATGGGCGTTGCGTTGGCACCAGACGCGCTTGCATCCCGTCCGCGATTGCCAGCCGCATCCGATGGTTTTTGAACATCATCGATTGGGGGGCGAGCCAAGAGACCCCCTGCCCAGGCTCTGGGGTGTGTCGAGGCTCGGGCGGGCCCTGGACGCCCCCCAATATTGCTGAACAGCAGCGCGAGGATTGCATGTGGCCTCCAAAATTGGGGATCAAGGATCGGATCCGGTTGCAATGCGCGCCGACGAGCGGGCGGCGCTTGGCCCCAACCGACGCAGCAGAGGGTCCTGCGCCAGCAACCGCGGTTGAGCGGCCCCCATGCTGCTGTGCCGACAGCACACATCCGGCCCCTGAAACGCTCGCGCACAGAGCACGCGGCGATCTGTGGTGGCGCGCGCCACTGAGGAGCCCGGCGTGGATGTGGACAAGATCGTGAAGGACCTGAGCGATAAGGTGGGCCCCGGCTGGGCTGCTGGGACGGGATGCAGGGAAGTGGGTGGGACAATGTACACTTCATGTTCAAGAGACTGCAAGGCGAACGCATACCCGCGCAAAAGCCGCCCCAGCAGCTCCAGCGCGGTCCCGGCGCTTCTGGCGATGGAAGCGGGTAGGACGCGGCCGCCGGCAGGGCGTCTCTGGGTGTCGAAGGGCGGTGGTCCTGACCAACCGCTGTGCGGCCGCGCAATCTGCAGTGGGAGAAGGTGGACAACAAGACGGGCGTGGTGCTGTACGGAGCCGGCGCCGTCGTGCTGCTGTGGCTGTCGAGCACCATCGTGGGCGCGATTGACGCCGTGCCGCTGGTGAGCGGCCTCCCAGCGCAGCAAGCGGGCACACGACGCGCAGATTGACGGGCGGCTGGGGACGGTGCGCAGTGAGCACTCTCGAGGGCAGCAGCCCTCGGGAGTGCGCACTGCAGCATCTGCATGCCGAAGAACTGTTCTCCCTACCGTCGGCGTTGAAAGCGCTCCCGCCCGCCACACACCGCACCCGTTCGCCCGGCCCTCGCTCGCCGTATCGACGCCGATAACACATGCTGATGTGTTGGTAACGTCAACCCCTAACTACGCAGATCCCGAAGCTGTTTGAGCTCGTTGGTCTGGGCTACACTGCGTGGTTTGTGTACCGCTACCTGCTCTTCCAGAACAGCCGCGAGGAGCTCGTCAAGTGAGGGGTACCGAGGCCGGGGGCACGCAGGTTTCAGGGGCGGCGCGCCGCTAACGGGCGGCTCTCGACACCAGAGGGGTGCCGCGCAGAGGGCGCGTGCTCGACACACCAGCGCGGCGGAAACCCGGCCGCCAAGGTCCCGTGAGCACGTCTCGCCGGCTGGGCTTGAAGCTTCCGCGCCATGCTCGCAGCTGCCGACACTGTCCTATGCCGCGCCGCCCGCCCGCAGGGATGTGGATGAGCTGAAGAAGAAGATCACCGGTGGGGACGTCTAAGCAGGCCTGCGGTCAACGTCCCGCTCGTCACGCGCCGCCCGCCCATCGGGCGCGGGGCAGGCCGCGAGGCGGCCGCCCGCAGTGCGCGCGCGCGCCTGGGCGCTTTCAGCGTAGACGGCCCGGCCAGGCAGGGCGACAGACGGGCACACAGGGGCGCGGCCCCATTGGCGACACATGGTGATACAGGCGACCGGCAGCGCGCCGGACCATCCTGGACCCTAGAATCGCACGAGACAGCAGCGGCCAGGAGCGCACAGCGAGCGGGCGTGCCCCTGCTCCTGGGTCCCTTCTTGCGGTGGTGGCTGCCGGTCGGCGGCAAGGCACGGCGCGCACGTGAAGCCTGTCATGATGGCGCTGCTGTCCTCGCGCCGCTGGCGGCCGCGTCGGGGTGCCGACAGCCTGGTGGGCGCGCCCTCAGGCTTCCTACAGCGCCCGGCCTGCTGATCTGTTTTCCGACGTTCCTTCTCGTGCAGGCGCGCGTGCGCGCGCATGCTTACATGGTGCGGTAACCATGAGCGGCTCGTTTGATGTTGGGGGCCAGCAGGAGCGCGCGGGGGCGGCTGCTGCTTGCGGGAAGCCTGCAGCGGCGGCGCTGCGCATGCCTCTTTGGGGACGGCCAAACGGCCGCAAAGCCACAGATCCCGCCGCCCAGGCCGGCAGCTCTGCGAAACAGCGGTGGCACTGATCCTACCAGGACCCACCGAAGCAGCTCAAACACGCGTGCTGCCAACCCTGGTGGCATGGGGCACCTAGCAACTCCTGGTCAGTGAATAAAGCTTATGGGTATGCATGATACCGAAAAGTGCACGCAGCAGCACACACAGCGCAAGTGCTGCAGCACACACACCGCGGGCTCGCTTGCCAGCACCCGTGTGTCCTTTTGTCGGAGGTTGAACTTTGTTTTATAGCAGTTTCGGCGTTTCGTTTTGTATCTTTGACAGCCCCCGTGCACACATTCATGACTTGAGCGACGCATCAACTAGCGACGCTCTCCCAGCCTGTCACCCACACACCCTTCTAGCGCCTATCATTTATTCGGGGTTGTCCAGGCCTTGCATGCGAGGAGGACACCGCTGGCAAGCTGTGCGGACCCGGCTGCAGAGGGCGCCATAAAAGCTACACCGGGCTCAGGTGAGCTCGGAGAAGCCACCAAGGCCTTGTGAGGGTGTTGCGGGCTTGGCGGTGGCGGTGCACGTAAGGCCTCTGCACGCTTGCGCCTGGGCCGGCCGCCTCGCGACGCGCGCGCAACGCCGCGCCCATGCTTCGGCGCCCGCCGGCAGGCCCGCCCCTCAGAGCACTCGCCAGGCACGACGAGGCCCCAATAACATCGGCCGCAAGGCCGGCCGCGCGGCAGCGCCAGCGCCAGCGGCAGTGGCATGGGGCCCACCGACGCGGCGGGCGCCAAGAAGCGGCGCCTGGAGCCGGCGGTGGCGCTCACCTCTGATGAGGAGCTCGCGAGGCGCCTGCATGAGGAGCTGAACGCGAACGTGTCGCGTCTCTCGCGCCGCAGCAGCCAGCAGCTGCCACCCACACATCACCCGCCCGAGCCGCACGCGCCCGCGGCGCAGCAGCACCACGCCCCCGCCTCGAGCGGCGAGCCGCGGCGGCCCAACGGGCCGCTGCCGCTGCCGCCCAAGAAGAGGCGGCTGCCGCAGCCGCCGCCGGCGCCGCACCACGGCCAGCCGCAGGCGCAGCAGCAGCACCAGCAGCAGGCGGAGGCCCAAAAGGATCGGCCGCTCAGAGACAGCTGGCCAAACGGCGACGCCACGTCCAGCAGCAGCGACGACGGCGCCGGCGCTGGCGCCGACGACATCGGCATCGACACCGGCGACGAGGACTTCTCCGGCCGCTCCTCCGGCAGCGAAAGCGGCGCCGACGCCGGCGGCGGCGCCAGGCACGGCCGGCCGCCGCGGCGCGACCGCCGCGCGAAGAGGGACCACCGACGCG